AATGTTTAGTCCATTAGCATTTGAAAAATTCAGAGAAAATACTCCATTATCTCTCCTGTCTTGGTGAGTCCGAAGTGTTATACCTAATTTGTTTTTCATCTTAACTTGCATTACCAACCCCAAACTATCTTTTTATGTCTCTAAACCTTATACCTTTTGCATGTCTTTTATGTTTGTCTCTGTGAATTTGTTTAAAAGGAAAACTATAAGTATATAGCCTTCAACTTTATCAGAGACCCGAGAAGGATAAAACATTACCTGAGTAAACATGGAGTACAGAGAAAACAACTTCCTAAATTAAGAAATGACAGAAACAGTTGACTGTCTGGACAGTCACCCATGGTTCCTCTGTAACATTGGGACATGCATCTTTGGCCTGCAGGTCTAGAACATATGACAGATTTTTCTGTGATGCAGGATTTTGGAAAGACTGTCCTGACTTGTCTTGGCAAAGTTCAGCAGTCACTTTCTTTTGTATCCTGCTTGTCCAACTTGGAAAGCATACTGTCAGGAGACAAGGCAAGGGCTGTTTCTTGCCCACTGGCTATCTTTTTCCACAAAGAAAGTAAACTCCTTATAGAGCTTCTTTGATGTCCATCATCTTCTTTGAAGTAGGTTGGTGCTGCCAGGAGTGGGCATGTCTCATTGTCATAAAAAACCTTATGTTATTAAAATATTTTAAATGCCATATTCTGTAGGTCTCTGAAGTGTTTGAAGACCACCTGCCTATCTAAAATATATCTCTGACCTTGAAAACATACCTAACATGACTACAAGTTTGATAGTAATAGGTGACTAACTACTAACCTGTATTTCTTTATTATCTTAAATAGTTTATAATAATAATTTTGACAAATTAGAAATTCACATTACATAGTTAGATAAGCTGTATAGGTACAATACCTTGAAAAAAGTAGAAATGTATGTAAAGCATGTTATGACAAAAATAACCTAATATTTGTATTAACATACAAAAATCCAAGCCAATGTAAAATATTTAAGATTAGTAGTTGCTTTTTTTGGTTTAAAAATAGATTCAATAACCTTTTATTCTATTTCTATATCCTCCTTTTACTTTTTAGAATAAGATCTCTGAATCTAATCTCCTTTGCTCAGTGTTTTTCCTGACCATTACCAATAACAACTTGTAACCAACTCCACCAAATGATGACAAATATCCATAATCCACTGAATGACCAAAAACCACCCAACCTGCCTCTTGGAAATATGGACATTGTGTTCTATAAACAGAGGCTTTTCTCTGTCCTGCTCTGCTTCACACGCACTTCCAAATAATCACTCAGAGGCTTGTATTGATTATAAATGTTTGCTCATTGATTATAAATGTAGCTCAGGTTTATTATTAACTAGCTCTTACACTTCAATTAATCCATTCCTATTTATTTATTGCCATGTTGTATGTGGCTTACTGGTCCTCCAGCATCCTGCTTCTTGGGTGGCTTGGGGCATGATATCTCTCTTGACTCCATCCTTCTCCCTGTATCTCTATTTGACTTTTCCACCTAGCCTTATTCTGCATGGCTATAAGCCAAATCAGCTTTTATTGTCAACCAATAAGAGCAACATACATTCACAGTGTGCAGAAGGGTCCTCCCACAGCAGGATTCTTAAAATTACTTCCTGCTGTCTAGGGGCAATGGCATCTTTAGGAGACCCTAAAAAAATGGGATAATTGTCAAGGCCCAGAAGAGTTCTTTGCATAAGTGTCGTCCAAACTCTGTGTAATCGGAAAGTACAGGACTTGTCTCAAGTCCTAGCTAGAGTAGTCTGTGAGGCTGGAAAATCTCAGTTAGTCACATTGAAACTGTCCTGAGCAGTTTGTAGTCCAAAGCTGATCTTTGAGTGGTGTTCGTCAACTTAGTGGCAATTACCTCAATTCAGGTGGAATCATCATCCTTCTTTTGGAAACTTCAAAGGTCACTCTTAGGCATGGTCATCATTCACTGCAGAAAACTTAAACATTTTAAATGTCATATGCAGCAGATCTTGAAGAGATTAAAAGACCATAATTTGTTATATACATCCAGAGCACAAAAACTTAATTCCTAGTACCTGATAGAGACTCAAACCCAAAATCATGTGTAAGAAGTATAGATGAAACTTTTTTCTAGAATTAGTCAGCACTCCATATGACCATTAATATCATGACAAAAAGTTTAAAATGTACATATTAATTTTATAGATTTGATATAATATTTATACCTTAACAAAAGTTTTAAAGTGTCAAAATAAAACCAAAGAATCATGAGATTAGTAGCAATAGAATAGTTCCTTAATTTTGGTTTTTCTTCTGTTCCACATCAGGTGGCTCTTCTATCATAAGATTTTCCTTTTAACAAGCATGCTTGGGTTTAGAGAAGGAGAGAGCCATGCTCCAACTCCAAAACCAGCTTTAATTTTTAATTATACTAGGACTACAAAAACTCTACTTGCATTATATGTCTGTAGATATACCAATAGGCCAATTTACCCTTTTTCTTGGGATATTTTCTCTGGATGATTCATCCTTTTACTTCAGATGTCTCATTTGTCCAGTGGTCTTTAGATTCCTTAGCTGGATGCCTTCATTCTCTTAGAAAGACAAAAATAAGCCTAACTTTGGGGAGTTTCTATTTAGGCAAGTTATATCTGATCAAATGAATAGCATTTGTTTGTCTTATAAATTAGTTTAGATTGAACTGGTTGATGAACTATCACCTCTTCTAATCAAAATGTCTCTCTTGTTCAAATCTAATCTTTATGAATTTTGATGGTATCCATAGCTTTTCTTCTCCTGTCAAAACAAAAGCAAAACCTCTTTCTCAATATAACATGTATCCTGGTTTCCATTCTGAGGTCAACACTTCTTTAAATTATAAAAGCTGATTTAATTTGGTAGTTTTTTTCTGTTATCTAATGTCTCTCTGAGCTGCTGTTCCTTTCTCATTAGCATTTAGAAAGTTCAAAGTTAATAAAATATTGTGCAATCTGTTTCTGGAGGTCTTCATTACCCCTTTCTGTTTATTAGGCACCTCTCTTATAGATCAATAATATTTTTCTATAACTGCTTGTCCTATAAAAATACAAGATTTTGTGGTATACCTGTAATATGCTTTATGTTGTAATATGCAAAAACTGTTTCATTTTACTAAATAGATATGCTGGAGCACTGTCAGTCCTAATTTGTACAAGTATCCCCATGGTGGTAATAACTTCTTTGTCTAGTTTCTAAATTTTGTATCATTCTATTTACAGCTGAAGTCAATCTTTGTAAAAAAAAAATCAGTGAAGGTTTCTTTTGGGCCCTGTATAACTTTAGTAAATGACTCAGTTCTTTTTCTGACTTCTTCAATTCTGTCCCACTCATTCAAAGTTGCTGCATGACATAGAGCTAGGGTGTGGTCATCGTATATAAAATCTTTGTACATCATCATAATCACCCTCTCCAAGAACATGGTCTTGGGAGATTTCAATACCTCTAGCCTTACTTCCTTGTTCAATGGTCCTAGCCTCATCTTTCCTCCAGGTTTTCCACTGTAACAGAAGACCAGGTTCCAATACTTCTGTAACCAAGTCTTTCCAGTCTCATGGGACAATTCTGTTACTAGTTGACCATGAATTTAACATTTGCTTCACAAAAGGTGAATGCATACTATATGATGAGACTATAGCTTTCTTAAATCTCAAATCTAGGATTTCCACAGGAATCCTGTGAACACTTTCATAGCCTTGGGGACACCTGCCATTTGGTGGTTGTTCCTGTATAGGGACAGGATTAATTAAGATTGGTTGTTTGATAACTTTGGGCTGTTCCTCTCTACTTTTATGATGTAATTGTGAGGTTGGTTCTCCTTTAAATTCCTCTGTCTGTGTCTGAATATCTCTATTATCTGTTTTAATAAGTTTTTCTAAGGTGTATTATTTTCCAATAGTAAGTTTTTCTAAGGTTTGCATATTATCAGCCACCTTTTTGCTCTCTCCAGCAGTAAATATTTCTAGAGGTTTTATCTTAATTAGTCAAAATTATATCATTCTCTTTAGTAATTATTTGTAAGGCTTGCATATTATCAGTAGTAGTCTTTCTAAGACCTGTATCTTGACACTAATAGCAACCAACTTTTTTTTTTGGACAAAACAAGAATTATCAAATCAATAATGTTTATAATTGATGTTACATAAATCCCATCTAAGTTACTTATCCCCTCATTTAATTGTTCCATTTTTAAACCATCCAGTGTGTAATCACACAGAGACCAAAATCCCTCCATCGGAATATTATTTCCCATTTTTTTACTGTGGGGGAAAAACACTTTCTTTTTTTTTAAAAATCTTATTCTACCCTTTAAGAATTCCCAATTGTCTCACCAAATCTGATGATAATGATGGTGAAGTGTGAGGTATAGCACTTCTGAGCAGAGAGTGCTGGTGGTACACTGGCTGAGGACAGCTGCCACTGATCATGTGTCAGCAGCCTGAGAAGAGGTGCAGGCAAAGCCCACAGCCCATGGTGGAAAAGAAGCCAAAGAGCCAGCCTTCTGCATGGAGGAATGTGCAAAAGTGGCCAACTCTGGTGGCATTTGGAGTGCAAGCACCTGTGGCATTTGCTGGAGAGAGGCTGAGAAAAATCCCAGACTTGCTCAGAGGGCTTGGGGTAAAAAGGGGCAACCTAGCTGGCAGAGTGGTAACTCCTGTGGGAGCATCTGTGTGCAGCTCTGGCCTGTGCCAGTTGCTGCAAAGCCATAGGCAAGTGGGTTTTTTTTTTTCATAAATTCGTGCCCACAAAATTGGCTGCCAGATGAAGCATAAATCTAATTAATCCTATCAATAAAAACCAGGAGCCAAATATCAGAGTAAAAACCTGGAGGATCAGAAAAAGAAAGGAACAGTCACAGTCACTTCTTACCTCTTCAGATCCTTTGACCAAAAAGATTGAGATCTTGTCTTCACTCTGCCTTATCACTTCCTGTCTTGGGGGTGCTGGGTTTGAAGGTGTGAGCTACCATCACCAGGCTTCTATAGTTAACTAGTAGCTAACTCTACCCTCTGATCTCCAGACCAGCTTTACTTATGAGAGCACAAACAAAATATCAAACAGCAGAGTATATGCATGTATCACAAGACCCAGCTACTTTATATTCTTAAGAGCCTATCATAAGAAAAATGAAACAACAGAACATACCAAAAAATTCTTCCAGTTATGGTGACACATACTGTAATCCTACACATGCACATCTGAGGCAGGAACATTACCAGTTCAAGGACTCCCTGAACTGCATAGTTAGTTCCAGGCCAGCATGTGCGAATTATAGAGGCTGTGTCTTTCAAAACTAAACAACCAAAAACCAACCAACCGACCAACCAACCAACCAACCAACAAACCAAACAACCAAACAACTAAAACATAAAAATAAAAAATAAAAAATGAATACAAAAGAAAGAGTAGTAGTGAAAAAAAAACCTCTCAGTTATTGGAAAGACTATATTTTATGTAAATAACTACAGTTTTCTGTTAATGAACAATAATTGCACATATTTAAGTGGTAATTTCTTCTAAAGTGACTTTGATTTTTCACTTGAAAGGCCTTTTCTGTATCTAATATGTTTTTTCCTTTCAG